TCAAAAGCAAGTAATTCAATTAAAAGCAAGTAATCATTGCCATTGATAGGAAATTAGTTGACTTTTCAAGAGGAACAAGCCAACTCCCGTTCAATGAACAGTAATTAAGAAATAAATACAAAGGTGTTTCGTTCTTTGCTCGAGTAATAAGGTGATGCCAAACCGGCAATTAAAGCTAGGTCAAATACTTCCACCAAAGAACTCATTCCGATTAAGCATTTTCGCTAATTCAATTGTGAGTGAAAAGCAATTTCTGCAGTAAAATTGATAAATTACTCGAGTAGTTGTCCCCCGACACCCTCGTGTTTATGCATTATATATATATATATATATATAATAATAATTTATTTCCTAACTATTGATTATTGATTATATTATCTCCTAAGTTTAAAGTAGAATTATTTTAAAGTGTGAATCCATACTGGTAGTTATATTTTGAAAGATGTTTTGAATAATTTGAAAGCAAAATGTTAATAATGTTTTAACGTGTAAAGGAAAAATAAAAACGTAATTGTCATTGATCGGAATTAGTTGACTTTTCAAGGGACAAACCAACTCCCGTTCAATGAACAATAATTGATAAAAGTCGTATACGAAAGTGCTTCGTCTTTACTCGAGTTATAAGTTAAAGCCAAACCGGCAATTCTATCTCCAAATATTTCCGCGAATAGAAAATTGATTTTTACTCCAAATTGAATTGACTAAAATGCTTCATAAAAATAAGTTCTTTGAGTATCAGCTTTGGTTCATAATTCTTCTATTCGCGGAAATATTTGGCCTGACTAGAATTGCCGGTTTGGCTTTAACTTATAACTCGAGTAAAGACGAAACACTTTCGTATTTACGTATTTTTATCAATTATTGTTCATTGAACGGGAGTTGGTTTGTTCCCCTTGAAAAGTCAACTAATTTCCGATCAATGACAATAATTACATGTTTTAATTTTTCCTTTTACAATTGAAATTTTATTCTTCATGATGATTTAACTCCAGTCCCCCCCGTTTAAAACATTATTAACATTTTGCTTTCAAATTACTTCAAAACATCTTTCAAAATATAACTTACCAGTATGGATTCACACTTTTAAAATAATTTTACTTTAATTAAACTTAGGAGATAATATAATCAATTAATCAATATTGTTTAGAAATAAATTATTATTAACTAACTTTGCAGCAATTGCGCAAGTAGTAATAACTTGTTTTCGCACTAAATGGATTTAAGATCATACAACATTATATATATATATATATATATACTTTTGATGCGGCGGATTGCAACCAAAAATGGAGGTGTAGAACTACATGTTATAGCAGTTCTATATACAAAATTTCAAAGTTCTGAGGTGCTTGTTTTTGAGTTACGTGAGCATGTAAAAATTCTCTTCTGAATCCATTTTATAATCTCTTTTGGGAAAAAGAGTCCTTTGTCCTGTTCTTAGGTACAGCTGCCAGACGAAAACATCGTTAAATTGCATTCGACAGCGGTCAAAGTGGATATTTTAATTCAAATATGATAGTCGAAATTTTTCGAGATTACAATATATAAGATCTTCCTATTTATTTCCACATAACCTAAACTAGATCTTACAACGAACCTGACGAATTCTCCTCCAGTCGTGTAGTAATATTCGAACTTTATTAATTCGAACTAAGAACAGAAGGCACGACCTTCGTGCTTTACAATAACACCGACAACTTGCTAAATGTTATAACATAAATCAGTTCAAGTCTAAATAGTACAGTGCTGGATTAGCACGTTAAGTTACGGCTAGCTTAGGTCGACTCAACAAAACTAACATACGTGACAATTATCCGAATGGCCAAATTGCATATTAGCGTAACGGCAAAATCAGCAACCAAATGTGCGCTTGCTAACGAAAATATGCTCTGACTAAACTCAAAGATTCACTCGTTTAAATACTCACTTAGCTTTAAACTTACATCCTGGCGAGGAAATGCGAGGGGAATTTGAGGAGTTCAGGAAAGATAACAAAAATTTCAATAGTATGTTAATGTAACTAAAGGAAACCCTACAAATGCCTCCCTTACTTCGTACGAAAAGGAAACAAAATAGTTGTTTATATCTTTTGCTTTTTTACGTATCTAAGAACTTGCCTTTTAATATTTTTTCTTGAACTCTGGAAGTCGGCCAGTAGTCTTATGGCTAAAACTGCAGAGTACTTGCAGTTCTGAGTTCCTGATGGTTAGGCTGCATAGGGTTTGTATGTTTTTTCGTTATAATTGGATCCGTTAGAAAGTCGACACGAAAGCATCCATCCTCATAGGCAAATAGCTCTACTGTTCTTAGTCATAGGCAAAATAATCCTAAATGCGTGTACATTAATGTAATGTTTTGGGTCACCCGTTTATTAGTCCAAAGGGTCAATTTGCCCTGAAGGTTGATTAATTTCGTTTTGGCATTTTGTGTCGAAAACTTTAAAAGGCTGTATCACTTTTCAAATCGTTGCCACCATATATTATCGCCCTGTCTTATATTTAAAGAAATTAAATGATGAAGAATCTGCATGAATGTATGTATGTCTCTCGCATTGTAATATAACAACGGTACTTAGAGCCATTAAAATTTGAATAACGTAATCTTCCATAGAATGTGGATGTGGAAGCCCTCATTTGAAAATGAAATTTGTTTTATTATCGGTTTCATATTTTGTAACACTTCAAGGAATTTTTGAGTAAAAAACTAAACGATTTCAAAGCGAGCAATGGCAACACTGTACGGGGGGGATTTATCTCCAGCGCGCGAGACTCTGTATCGGAAATTCTAAAGATAGGCTCATTTTAAAATTAATTTTCCGTATTGCTCTTGAACTGAATTTTATAGTTTGAGTACGTAGAACATGATATTTAATAAATAAAGGTAACACACAAAATGTTAAAAAAAACGCCCCTTCGGACGTAATTTAAAATCCGAAACATTTCAGATTTTTTTTTAAAAATTGTTTAAATTTTTTACTTAACTTTCAAAAACAGCTTTTAGCAGGGCAATGAATAAACGCAAAATTAAAAAAAGCCTTTTAAGAGTTGTAGCGCTTAAAAAATGTATTCCAGATAAAGCCTGTAAGTTTTACACCCTATGTGAAACTTCACGTGCAAAACTTATAAATGAGGAAGCAATGAGAAATTTTGCTGATTATAGCCAGGAAGCCGAAAAAAGGATATTTTTTAATGAAAACAGTGGAGTATTGTGGAAATTTCCATTTCTCTGCAGGAAAGGTATTTTCGAAATACAAGATGAATCTTATGGTGATATCTGTTATAATGCAATAGTAGAAATTAACTGCATAAATATCTTTAGAACTTGTAATATTTTATTGCTTGCCAATATTTGCATTATTTTACATAAAAGATGTCCTCGAACACAACTGACAGTTTGTTGATAGTATTACATTTATCTTTTACTTCCTTGTAGGAAGTAATGGAAGTATTGTAATTCCAAAAGATTTCGGGTATCATATTTCAGCGAAGTTATCCATTTTGACAGCTCTCGAATCTATCTGAACGATGTTTTCTGCGTGATATCTGTATGCAACTTTATCCCAAAGTGGATTAAAAAATAAATTCAAAATCAGAAGAGATTTTTTTGGGGATGTCTGTACGTATATATCACATAACGCAAAAATGAGTAGCCTCAGAACGCTGAAATTTTGTATATGAGACTGCAATAACATGTACTTGTACACCTTCCTTTTCGGTTGCAATCGGCTTCACCAAATATGTATATACCCACTTTGTTACCCGGCTCGGTGAGCTCATATTTTTTGTTCTTATATTTTGATAAATTGTGCATTTTTTGCTTGTTGTTCTTATGTTCTGGTAAGGTTTTTATGCTATCTTTTAGCTTTTAGCTAATCTGCATGCAATAGTTGTAGAACCATCGACAATTTAAAAGTTGTTTAACTGCGACTAAGCCTAACGGAGCAGCCATTTGCTTACACATGAATTTTAGCAGAATAATGAATTAAGTCAGTTGCTTCACCGTCAGTGCCTTTTTGCCGAATGGGACCTAAAGTAAACTTTCAGTTTTGTGCACCGAAAAATCTGCCTTCTTGCCCTCTGGCCGAATTGCTTGTTTTTGCGTAGAAACTGTAATTTTAATTGTAAAAATAGTTTTTTGAACTGTTTTAACTGTATTTGGTGCTTTATGTTTTCTATATTTTTCATATTTTAATGAAGATGTCAGTTTTTACTTATTTTTGCCTTGCCGAGAAGTGAGAAATATATCTCTAATAAAATTCGAGGAAATGAATTTAAATAGGCCGTGGAGGTGACGGAGGACGGGGACGCCTGATGTTTAACAGAGGTAAACAGGCATGTGTCCCACGCCCTTTCCTACCTAGAGGCAACAATTCCCTGGAGCCTCTAGAGGCCTACCCCGGGAGTTTATTTAGATATTAAAATGAGTTTGTTCACATGACCAAACAGGGGCGTCTTAAGTGTACAATGGATACTTGGTAGATATACGATTTGGCATCTTAATGGTAAGTCATACATGAAGCTTAAGCATACACATTTGAAATACATGACAAATAAATATACATAGAGTAAACACAGTTCAACACACAATATTCAAAACATAACAGTACACGGTACAAAGAGTACACAATGCGACATTAAACAGCATAAAACATATATAAACATTGCGTTAAACACACACATTACATTAAAAACATAAAAATTATGTAAGAAAACGAAAAATACATGAGAGCACAGGAGAATCAAAACCCACTATGTTTAATATGAACGCACCTAGGCACATTAAGTTTAACATGCGGAACAAAACGCAATACGTTAGTCATGCATGGGCAGTAGATATTTACATTGATGTTGATGCTTAGGAAGTGATGTCGTGTCCACGTCAGTTTTTTTTATCTAAACCTTAATGTTAAATATGTAAAAAAATTACATATTAAACTTTTTGCTTGAGATTATTATTTTAGCTGCATCTTTATTCAGAATTATTACAATATTTTTTTCCAGGTTGTCAGCCCTGTCAACGAAATCGTGATCAAACGAAGCATTTCTGTCAAAGTGATTTTGGTAATTGTATTTTATTTTGTATATTCCGAACTTGTTATATTTCTGTAAGAAAACTAACGTGCAAAATAAAATGAATGTTTAAAGTTTTTGAAATTGCATATACTAACCAAAATTGAATTTTATTGACCTACCAAGTTAAGTCGAAAAAAATTAATTAACAGAAGTTTTAAGTATTGCCCACTCCTATCGTGTTATCCTCGTTCATATATTTCTGTATAAGAAATCAGTTTCATATATAAAATTTTGAATGTTTTAAAACGCTGCATGCTACTGTACAAGAAATCTGGGCCGTAGGTTGGTTGGGGAAGCCGTATGATGCCACTTTGATCAGGAAGTCCATGACTCGGCGCATTGGAGCCTCCATGATCCAGCTATTGCTAAATGGATGCGGTCGACTCGCTTTCTGAATCTTTCAAATAGAGGTACGGCCCAGATGTCGCTTCTTCAGACTTCTTCCTCTTCCCCTGACTGAAAAGTGTCCTGAAAGGACGGCGCCACGTCTCGGTCCAGGCTATCCAAGAGACCGTAACGAGGGAGCTGAAGAGCATTCCAGTTTCTTCGTTCCAGGGAGTTTTCAGTCGCTGTCAAAGTCGCTGGAAACGCTGGGTTGATGCAGAAGAGCCATATTTGAAAACTATTAAGTTGATGTCAAAATTGTGAATACATTTTTTAAAACAAATTCAGTCCTACTGCTTTCCGGATAGACCTTGTAGGTGTTAAAAGTTAAAATATAGAATTATTTTTTAAATCTTTGGTTTATATTGAAAGCACACACAAAAAAGTGTCATAGTTGCACAAAATTGTAATTTTTATAAAATGATCCAACATATTTCATTTAAAGCATATTTAATAATTTAATTCCATTTAACAAATACAGACTGTAGGAGTAAGATGTTTAAAATTTAGTATTTAGCGTGCATTTTAGGGTTTAAAATAATTTATAGCAGAAGTGAACAGGTTTTTGTTATATAGTATATATTATTGAAATCTTGAAAGCAAAGATGTAAACAATAAAGATCCGCTTCGAAGAAAACAACGAAATTTAATGCAATTAACTCGTGACGCCATTTGCACTCGGGAATAAAAATGTCATTTTTTTTCATATTAAGTCAGAATTAAAATACCAGTTCATCATATTTAAGCTGAAATAAAAATGCTTCAATGAATATTCAGTAAAGAACGAAAAAATTAATTTGCATGTTTTCCGGTGATTTCAGTCCTACAAAGCGTAACAGGTAAGTTTTCTTTTACTAAAATTAAAAACAAATAGCCGTAAGCGCTTACTGTTTTGTTCCCTTGCTAATTAAAGAATTAAATTAAAGTATATTTTGCACCTAATTTCAGTTTTGACAAGGAAAACTCATATATTCCCGTTAAGTTTTACCTGTGACGAAAGATGAAGTAAAATATGCTTGCATTTTAATTATGGGTCATAAAAGAAGTATGAAAAAAGAATTTTTTTTTTCTTTTCAGAGGAAAATTAATTATGCTAAACCATCAAAAGCGGGAAAAGTCATAAAACATTTAGTACATAGTGAAAATTACCACTTCCTGCATTGTGATTACTCTTAGTAAAATATGCAAAGAATTTATGAGCTGATGTAATACTATCCTGTGCTTATTTTAGGGATGAAAATTCTTATCTTATTATTAGAATTTTTATCTCTAGTAGGAGGCTTACATTTTTCTCTGAGAAAAAGCGTAATTTACTGTTTCATAGTTTACGTAAATACACTCGTGTGCGAAATTAAGAGGATTTGCATATTATGTCGAATTTCTGAAAAATGAATGGGGAGATTTTAATGAAATTTGGTTATGAATATACATTTATAATAAAGAAGGAGATATAGCATTGAAAAGTCCTTTATGTATGCACGATTATGGCTGTTTGTAAATGTATAGTGTCCGTGCGGTAAGGAGACAGTCTAAATATGCGACGAGCTGAAAGTCCTCTCGAGAGGTTGGTGGTAGGGAAAGAGGGGGAAGACCCTAGGACCTCCCCCCCGGGGTACTCTCCATCAAAATGGGGGGAGGAACTGAGTAAATTGCACTGTCACCTGTAAGATGCTCAAGGTTGTTGCCAACGACAGGCATAATATTGCCTGCCCTCTTTGCCACGTCACGCAACGTGACAGCATATTGCACTAGAGACAATTGAGGAGTTCCTGTGGCAATCGATCCCACTCCTGCAGCAGGGCTGTTTTCAACTCACGGATGGTTTACAGAGTGGAATCAAGATCTTCCCAGACATGCTGTATAGTGTTAAGGTCAGAAGACCTGGCCGGATAACCCATGTAGCGGATATTCTCACTTTCCAGGTAATCTTCGCCCAGTTTAGCACAATGTGGATGAGCGTTTTAGTTTATTAACAGGAATCCAGGTCCAACTGCGCCCCTGAAAATTCGAAAATAGTAAGATTTCCTCTCTGTACTGCTTACGTGTACAGTTGTGAAGTTGTAGCAGATCTGTGTCGCCGTGCTGAAAGTGCCAAATAATGATCATCGTTTGTCATTCTCGATATTGGTCGACTCTGAATATTTGCATAATTCTTTGACGGCATAATTAATGTAGCTTTGGTTCAGTACTTTTTGTAAAAATGAACGTAATTTGCAAATTCTCTTAATTTTGCGCGCACGAGCTGTATTGAACTTATTTCTCTTGACTTTTGTGCTGACTGATACGAATACCTTCAGATGTTTAGTTGGAAATTTTTAATATTATAAACAGCAATATTTCTTTTCTTAAATTTTATTACCATGAAGATCTATTGCAATAAAACAAAATATATTGTGTACTCCTTCCCGTTTGCCAATATGCATTTTCAATGCTACTGTCACATGTTCTAAATAATGATTGAGTTTACTTTAAAAAAATGGTCATTGAAAACTTATATTTGTGTTTCAGTTTCATTTTATATACCTGTAAGATTTTTAATTAATTATTATGATAATATTATAAATATTAAAAAATAGCAATTTATTTCATCTGTTTATTTTACATAAGAGTGTATCTTATGTCCCTATATGTCACAGAAAGAGTATCGATGGTTGTTATGTTATCTGCTATAAATCTGTACGAATTTAAAAATTCTATTTTTATGTTAAAAGTAGTGATAGTTAATGTTTTGTATTTAAGTTAGCTATCTATACTTGTATTAAAAAAATCCGTATTGCTAAAATTCTATATTTAGTTATATGGTAAGTGAATTTTGCTTTCTGAGAGAAAAAACATTCTTCGATCCAAGAATTATGTTTTCTCTTTTAGACCAAACTCTAACAATTTTTCTCATTGCGAGTTATTGTGTCTCGTTCATTATAGAAATAAGACAATTTTTTACGTTAAATCTATTTATTTCACGTCAACATTTCCTTGAGATATCGTATAGTTAATTACCACTGGAAACCTCGATTAATTTATAAAACAGTTATTACTCTCATTATGTTATATGGGGTTGGGGTTCCAGGGCCGCGGACCTGCAGCCAATCAGAAATAAATTAAATGCAATACAACAGCTTTGGCTGCTGCTTCTGACCAGATGCTTTAAAACAGTTTCGACGGAAGTCGTTGCATATTGGCCGGTATGCCCTCTCTCGATATTTTATTCTTTTTATTATGATCAATTTAAATTACATTCATAAAATCTTGATTTTGTTACTTACAGAGGTTTTGCTGAATATAATACATGTTTTTCTGTCTTTAATATTAACAGTCCACATCCTGCATTAAGAAAAGCAGTGGAATATCGGAGAACAAATGTTCGCGTAAGAGAATTGGACATATTTACTGAAGGTTTAGGTTATGACAATGGAATTGGTGCAGTATATGTGGTTTACTTGTTTGGTACAGAAATAGACTATGGCAGAATTAGACTTGAACCTTACAATTCTGTTTTTCTAGCCGGAATTGGCTGCTATCATATTTGCTCTTAAATGGATTGATGAAAACCTGACTGTCAAAATATGTATTAATATAGATACAGGCACATTATCTGGATTGGAAGCACTAGCAGATGTTGATAACACTAATATTTTGGTCTCGCATAGAAAAGATCTTGTAAAAGTTGAGAAAATACATGAAGTAAAAATGAACTGGGTGAAAGCCCATTGCCAATACTGTTATTATAGGCAATGAGAGGGCCGACATGCTGGCCAAAGGGTCTGCCATGGGTAATGCCGGGGATGCGTTCGATATTCAAGCATAAAAAAGAATTGTTATTAGTAAAATCAAGGATTTCTATTATGATCGCTGAAAAGAGAAATAAAATACTTCGGGGAAAAGGGAAATATTATTTGTTGAACTTTGAAGTTCCTAAAAATATGAGAATGACATATGATTTTGATTACAATCAAATAACTACTGGACACGGGCGCTTCCCGGCGTAAATGAAAAGTATTAATTTGCAAAAGAATAGTCGTTGTCGTTTGTATAGTGCTGAAGACAGTGCACGACATTTCGTCGAAGACTGCGTTTTTTGTGACAGGTTAAAGAAAAACATGGTAGCATAAAGGAATTCTACTGCCGCAATAAAGAGTTAGATTTGCAAAGAATTTGATGAACTTTATGAATGACAATAGATTATACAACACTGAGAATTTTGGTTTGATGTTTTTAACTATATTTCTGTTTTAATTTTTTGTTTTAGTTTTTTAACTATATTTTTATTTGTTTGTGCTGGGTGTGCTGCGTTCACTATGAGGCCGATTATTATCGGCGAGGAGGGTTGCAGCACACTCCAGCATTACATTACTAGAAACCTTATGAAATTCTGTAATATAATTTAAATTTTTGAAGTAGAAACATGATAAAAATTAGTCAAGTTGCTGTAATAATCATGTCTAATAACACACTTTGTTTTGGTTTTGTTTGCAGTTATTCGAGCATTGGTTATCAGCTTCGAGTTTCTTCAAGGGGAAACAAGGTACGAATTGGAAGTGAAGCAGTCGTTCAAAAATACACTTTCTTTGCTTCCGAAAGAATACGTATGGTCGCCAGATACTTGTCGATGCCCGAAACTTCGTCCTGGTAAAGAATACCTTATCATGGGAAGGTCCGACAATAACTATCGCAAAAGGGAAAGCAGACTGTTGGTAGACAAGACCTGCTTCGTTCGAACTTTCAATCTCAAATATGCTAGACGGCTGCAAAAGCTAAGAAAGGAACAGTCCAAAAAGTGTTTGAAGGTATCGTAGCAAGAACATTTGGTCGTAATGATTTCGTTTTTTTCTGTGTACATTTTGAAGTGTTTTTCTTTTCGTGTCGTGTAAAGTTTTGGCAGGCTTATGGTCTGGCTACCAAATTGAAAGTCGATCAATGAAAAGAACAAAACAAACAAGCAGGGCCGGCTAAGTCGATGCATGTTAGTTCTAATGTTCTCCAAAGCTAAAAAGTATGGCAAATATGAATTTTGATGTTGCTGTCCATCGCAGAAGATTAAATTAATTCCAAGAGAGACTGCTCTTTCAATATGACCGATACTCTTCAGTGTCCATTTATTGCTTTAGAGTCTGTTGACGGGATTTCGCAGTATCAAAGAACATTGAGTATTTCCATACTTTGCAGATCTTTCTCGAGAGGCATAATGTTGTTTTATGTATGATAATGTATTGTGAGTTTTAGACAGCACTGTGAAGTTAAACGTTTTGGATGTATCAAAAGAAGATGAAGACAGATAAAATGATGTATGCTTTACAAAGATGTTGTCTTAAATATTATTGTCTAGCTTAGGATAAAAATAATTTAAAACAATTTCCCGTTATTAATTAATTTTGAAGCTAGGGTTCAATAAAAAATGTGTCACTTCTTAACGAGAATAGTAGATAATATAATGTACGTTAACAGTGTTATACATATTACTGGTAATGTAACTTTAATAATTCCAGTAGAATGTTAACATAAATATTCTATAGATAAATGTCTTTAAGGAGTTTGGGATATTTAAAATTTGTTATGCAGTCACCGTTTCTTACTGGATAAGCACACTGGATGTATAACATAATATTTCTTTTGCTGTAGCAAAATTTAAAAGAAAATATATCTTTGTATTTTCTACTTAAATCAGCTACTTTTAAGCTGAGTGGTGTCATAAATTTCTTTGAGGATTTTTATAAAATGTATTTATTATTTTATATTACTTAAACTATTTTTTAACATTCCTAAATTTCTCTGAGATGCTGGAAAAGCTGTGAGCTGTTTTTTGCCCTTAAAACTATCTTTGTAGAAATTTAAAATTTTAGTCACAGTTTTCTGCATTCAAAATTAAAAGATATTTGTAATGAGAAAGTCAAAGTGTATAAATTTAATTTATATACATGTTATATATCAATATATCATTCAGCATGAAATATATTTTATTAATATTTATGCATTTGGCTAAAAAACAATTAATGAATTTACAATCCACTTATTTTTTAGTATTTTTTAGATATAAGTGGCAATAAATAGTAAATAACAACGGATAAGTTCGTAAGTTTAACATGCAGAAATATCTTAGATCTTAAACCTGCAATTGTATTCCTAGAAAAGAATATTGTATAAATTACTGAGAATTTGTAGAATACGTTTTTGTTTTGACCCAGAATTTTCTCTTTAGTTTCTCTGTTTGAGAAATCAAATTTATTTAATTAGTGTAAAATTGAACTTCTGAATATAATTCTTGTTAATAAAGATACAGTTTATTTTTATTTATTTATTTCGTGAACATTTTGATTTTGATTATTTTGATTTTCGTGAACATCAAATGAAATAAAACAAAGTACACCAGTAAAATTCTGAAGTCTGTGTAAAATGTTTGTTGTATTTAAAAAATAGTTTTTCTGTTGTTAACTAACGACACAACTGTTTCGTTTAATATTGCTATTGTACGAAGGATAAGCACAGTAAGACGAATATCATATGTTGTTTTATAAAAGTATTGCTCCATATCGCTTGCAATATATTTCACAAACGCACATCTTTTTCACCCTGCTACAGGACTTGTCCGGAAAGTAATAGGACTAATTTTTTAAAAAAATTATTCATAATTTTGGCACAGCGACTTAATAGTTTTCAAAATATGCTCCTTCTACATCAGCACAGCGTTTCTGCCAATCACTGAAGTCTCCCTGGAACGCAGAAACTGGAATGCTCTTCAGCTCTCTCGTTATGACGTCTTGAATGGCCTGGACCAGCACCCCCTGGATTCAGTTAGTTCTAGGAGGTGTTGCTTGGGCCCAGCGGTGGTGTCGTCTTTTCATGACCTTTCTCAGTCGGAAGAAGAGGAAGTCTGAAGGAGCGACGTCTGGGCTGTAGGGTGTTTGGGAAAGCCGGTGTGATGCCAGTTTGGTCAGGAAATCCATGATAGCAAAGGCGGTGTGACTCGGTGGATTGTCGTGATGGTGTCTCCATGATCCAGCAATTGCTGTGCGGAAGCGAGCGACTCATTTTCTGAGTCTTTCAAGTACAGGTACAGCCCAGATGTCGCTCCCTCAGACTTCTTCTCCCCCCTCCCTCACTGAAAAGGATCATGAAAGAACGGCACCACGGCTTGTTCCAGGCTATTCAAGAGACCATAACAACGGAGCTGAAGAGAATTCCAGTTTTTGTATTCCAGGGATTGGGAAGAACGCCGTACTGATGCAGAAGAAAACGCCGTATTAAAATTGTGAAAAACGTTTTCAAAAAACTTCAGTCTTACTACTTTCCGGACAAACCCTGTGGACTATAACCAATCACGATTTCTTCCTTCTGGTACATAAATGTAAGTATAACTGAAATAAATGCATTTATTTTCAACTTAATAGCATATCAATATATAGAAACCCCAAATAGACTCTTACGTTAGACTTTGGTTATCATCTGGTTCCCATACATCTTAAAAGGCAACATTTGAATAACGCACATTAAGGAATCGGGCAATTTTAGTCCATTCATGAAATAAAAAATACGAAATTTTGCTTTATTCATATGTGCTTTAAATTTACATAATAAAACTTCATTCACGATATGCAGTACTTATTTTAATGCTCTTAAATGTATTTGATATAATGTAAAGTAAAGCAGTTATGCACTTATGCAAACCAAATCTTGAATTCTGTGTAAAATATCCCACTACATTTTTCCCTTTAAAGAAAAATTAATATATTTTACATATATTCGTTTACTTACTATAGTATATTTAAAATTAGGAACATTTTCTTCTAAAGAACATAAAACATTTATTATCTCAGATTTCATTGCTGAAAATAATGTATTATTGGCACCCATTGCTGAGTAGTAATATTCAGAAATATTTATTACGAATTAATCTTCTAGATGAACTTATTTAGTAACAAATATACAGGGTGAATCTGAACAAATAGGCAGAACTTTAGATGCTGATGTAAGGCAGTGATATGAGCAATATCCGTCATAGAATGTATGGTGAGAAGTCAAAGGGTAGGTTTTCTCTGTAGCATTTAAAAAAAAAAAATAAATAAAAAAAATAACACAAGAATGAGAGGAGGTACTTCAAGAAACATTTTATTAACATGAATGTAATGGATGTACATGCTCAAAGAAATTACTCAAAAAACCTTTCGCCAGCTACAATGCAGGCTTCACACTTGTGCGATAGGGGCTGACGCACACTTGCGAAGACACCAGGTATTTCCCAAGTACCCCCGGCAACAAGACGAGCCTGACGATTACATCCGTATTCATTTCAACGGGTCATTCGTAGATTAGGCTTTTCATATAGTCCCCTACAAGAAAAAGTCCAAACATGAGAGATCCGATGATCTTGGTGGCCAAGCTATGGGACCACCTCGACCAATCCCTTGCCCTGGAAATTTCGTAGTTCGTGTAACCAGCCATCATCTCGGCAATCCATGGTAGAAAATGCCTTTGAGTTCCATGTGTCGCTGTAAGCTGCGATTATTGCGTATTTTCACACAATGTGGTCCGGCTGTCATTGGCGCTTGAAGTAATAGCATGTCGCCGCTGGGTGCGAGGATCGAACCTTTTTATACCATTTACAATGCAGCAATTCTAGCAGCTCGCCTTTTGCGTTCCGACGGTACATTGTATAACGAATATTGCTCATGTAGTTGCTTTCTATCACCCTCTAAAATTTTGCTCACTTATTCAAATTCATCCTGTATTAATACTGGATCATAGCAGCAGTAATGATGTGTTTAAATGGGTTTTAAAACAATAGAACCAATTCCACATTCAACTTTTATCACCTATTATTTACAACTTGCTGCCATTTTAATTTGTAATTTTCCGTCTCGCGTATTAAGGAAGCTTTCGTATTTCAATCTAAAGAATAAATCGAGCTTTTTTCCGATATAATATAACTAATTCATAAGTATTGTTTTTAAATGATTTTGAATGTTACAAGGAAGTTAGTTATCTGGTGGTAGGAGATGAGTAGGATATTATGAATGCGTCGCTATTTTCCATTAAAATTACTTTAATTTTTGCAACGTTTCTCTTGCCATGTGAAGTCACGATCTGTCATGACGGAAAATTTCATTCTCTTCGTAAGCTAATGCAAGTATTTTTCTCACCATTACTTTTAGCCTGGAATCGTTTCAGTTGTTCTGAATTCAGACGGTTTAAGTGACGTCTTCTTAACAATAGAACCCGTAAGTGGGTCTGCACTACTAGGCAAGCCGTTGCCATCAGTGTTCATTAGTGTGTTCTAGCATAAAAGTGGGAGCACATTTATGCCGAGACATCCTTATTTAGTAGTCTACAATGCAGTTTTGATTGATAAGGCAATCGAAAATCCAACTTTCATAGCATAAGCAGGATTATACCTATTGAAGGTCCCCATGAACATAGAGAAAAGAACAAATATGAGTTGCCCAATGTGTAGTGTTGGTTTATGCAAAGAATGTTTTTTTACCCTGTACCATACGATGTAAAATCTATTTCATATAATAAAGTTTTCCAGAATAATAGGAGTGCTTATAGTAAGTCGATCGCTACGCGTGGGACATATGTATCCCACCATTAACTACGGCTGGGACATACAGTCTCTCGATCATAAGAAAAGCTCTCGCCAATTAGTCTGCAGCTGTCTGTTGCCGTAGAAACGAGCCTTGGCCCATTTACCCTAGGGGTGTCTTGAAGACGAGTGATAAACTCTTTTCCCCTCAGCCAACAGTCGCCCAAACCAAAATAACAATAAAGCAACCCTTGGCTCGTTGATCTGTTCTCGTAGACAGACAGTATGCGTCCCAGCCTTTGGCTTGAAAATCGTTTGTAAAAAAAAAAAAAAAAAAAAAAAAAAAAATCCCAAATGCTAAATTTACCTTATTTATGACATGTTTTGTTCACTTGGATTGAAAACTGGGTAATTTTTAAAAAAGAAATTCCTAGTAAACTGTTAAAACAGTTTTTTGTCGTAAAAGTTCTCTCTTCTTTATGTTGGGATCTCTTTGTGAAGATTTCTGTCATAGCAAACTCTGACTGACTTGCATAAATGTACTAGAACACCTTAGTATCTGTCCCTTTTTAACGTTGGTCTGATTTTCAAGAAATGGGTAATTCTTTGCACATGCCGTAAAATGATATCATTATCATTTTCTGATGAAAGTTTCCTGTCGGTATAGCAAATGGTGTTTTTATCAAGTCAATAGCTCTTCCTATGTTTTATCTCGCTGGGAAGAATTTGATTTCTTTACCAGGGATTATTAGATATAGAATGAATATTTTTCTAAAGTATTGAGGTGAGAAATGCAAATTATAATTTTTTGTTCCAAATTCTGGTATGACCCACCGATCCAGTTTATAAACCTTTCGTGTAGCTTTTAAATGATGATGCATTCTTGAATGACGACATTTAGATTATGGACAGATAAATCTGACGCTAAACTGGTGTTTTCCACTATCAGTGTAAGTAAGGGAAAAAATCAACGTACTTATTGGATGATCCAATGCTATAAAATGTATTAGAATAGTTTTCCAGAAATGTATGAACTCTCTGTATGACACTTTGCACATATTCGTATTTGAAGTAAAACTAAAACTATGAATGAGGGTAATTGCAATTTTCAAATTTTAGAGATTTGTTTTGGATATAACTACAAATACTAGTAAATTTTTTCCTCCCCCTTTTTAAGGCTGTGTTTTAATTTCTGCTACATTTGATATTCTTGCATTGTATTATTAATCTTTGAAAATAATTAGTTTTCCGTGTTTGGAATATGAAATAAATAGGAAACGTTATGCATATTATCATTAAAGCTTAATTTCATATAGTGTTACATTCGTATAATATTTTGCAAGTGTGGAAAACTATAAATTAAACTTCAAAATTGTCTGTTTCATTCAAAAAATATGAAAACACTGTATTCAGTAGTATTTTCTCAAAATAAATATTTATTTGCGTTTTAATGAAAATACTATTGACCCCATGATCTATTTTCAAGGAAGTTTTAACAGCATTCAAAATATAAATTTCGTTGTTTGATTCACTATTCCAAATTTATGTTTCAAATGTTTTAATTTTTTCTCTTTATGCATTTTATATTAAATCATGAGCTTGACATCATCATGAGTATCATCATCATGATGTCATCATGAGCTTGACATCAGTATATTAATCTAGTATATTTTAAATTAATGTTTAAATTCTTGCTTTATGCATTAAAAGGAAAAATGAAGAACTGAGAAAAGAAAAGAATATTTGAAAAGCCTGGCTTTGAAATTGAAAATAATATTAATTTCTTGAATACAGATCACCATTGAAAGAATAATTTTTAACGGTATCTGTGAACATATTTCCAGTTAAATTAAAA